GTCTTCCTGCAGATAGTCACCTGGAGTCTCTCAAACATGAGCAAAATGAACTGCAGCAACTCCTGAAGAACCAGAAGTTTACTCCAGCTGATGTGGAGAGGATCACCAGAGAGAAGAGAGAGCTCCAGCAGACCATCTCCAGCCTCGGCAAGTCTCTAGAAGACGCTGAGCAGCACAAGTGGAACGAGGAGATCGCCCTGGCCAAATTCAACGAAAAGGTATGAGCATCTAGTATGCATACTTAAGAGAGTGACATCGTTGGGATTACAATTGTATTTTTTGTCAGTGTGTGTGGCTGCCAAAGATTGATAATGGCAAATGCTTTTCATCATTTGATTTAACTTGAATTCCTTGCCCCTTCTGTGTGTGTGCCCTTTCCTTATATCCATTCAGGCGGAGCTGAATGTGGCAGAATACCACAAGCTGGCCCGTAAACTGAAGCTGATCCCGCTGTCTGCAGAGAACGCCTGCGGTCATGATTTTGAGATCAGGCTGTTTGAGTCGGGCACCATGGATCAGCATAAAATTAAGATACAGGTACTGCCAAGATCCAATTCAATACAGAATACATTGAGTATGATCAAAGCTGGCTTATTATACCTATACTAATGTCATTTCCAGTTATTTGGAGCTTTGATACATTTAATATGTTATCAGATAGAAATTATTTCTTTTTTTCGTAAAAAATGAAAGATGTGTGTGTTCTGTGTCCTTGTTCTGATCTTTGCGGTGTGTTTGTAGATGCTCCTGAGAAAGCTGGTCGGTAACGTGGAGGAGGAGAACAGTCGCCTAGCCAACATGAAACTTAGTTTGGAAGAGTGTTATGAACAGGTTATAACATCCTTATTGTTTTGCGATGCTAACTTTTTCCTTTACTGACGCACATTATTACCAAAGTTTATATTTTTTCCATCTCAATTGTCCATTTTCATGTGTATGTGTGTCTTTTTAGGTGGGTTGTATCATCTTGGACAAGTCCAATGACCTGAAGAATCTGAAAGGGCAGATCCGCAAGGCAGATGAGCGTCTGGATTCTGACATGCAGGTAAAGTCCATGTCGTTTACATTAACACATCTAGTGACCCAACCACATGTCAACAAGATGAACTATGTCCGTGTCAATCCAGCATTGAACTGTTTGTCTTCAAGGCAGAAAAACAGGAATATGAAACATTTTCAAATATTTGAAGCACACAATGTTTCCTGTGTAGGAGTTGGCACAGGAGGAACAGGACTGGGCCACAGAGATGGAGACAGTGGAAAACCATCGCAATATTCTGAAGAAGAAAGTTAAGTATGGATACGACGAGGCCGTGCAGCAACTGAAGGCAGCACAACAACAGTGAGTAACTGACGATACTATTTATATGCTGTGGCCATCACACAACGCAACATTATCAAAAGCCCCCTCTAAATACTGTTTCTGCACTACACATTTTTTTATTTTAAAAAGGATTTGGCTTTAGGTGCTCCGGGTTTCTGTTTGTTCTGTTTTAGAATATAGAGTGGCGAAGTCCCTCCCCTTCCGGTGGACCTCCATGGGACCTTATTTCGGAAAAATTATGTATTGAAGTCAATGGAGAGAGAAAGATTATCTTTCGATCCCGTTTGAATTGTGCCACGAATTACACATATGATGTTTGTCAATTTAAAAGATAATTTTGCAAGTCAAAAAAAAAAAAATGTGTCGTAAAACTGTGAAGTAACACATTTGTTTGTGTGAAACGCTCAATGAACTACATCTCTGGTCAACAACACACGTCACCAAGATGGCCGTCACTACTGTCTTGTCAACACAACGATTGACTTCCCTCACTATCACCACAATGAAACACGTCCTGAAGAATGTCATGCAAAGCTGCCTGCCTGCCTTCCTTTGATTCTCTCTCTCGAACTGCCTGGTCGTTTTAATGTTTAATGTCAACCATTTGTGCAGATAGCATGAAGTAGAGAAGATCGCTAGCGTTAGCGTTAGCATTTCTCCCCCGGGCTTAAATTGTGTATTATAGAATGATCACACCGGTGACAGTACTCTTCAAAGGGTTCACGAAATGTGACTACTACTCTTACTGTTTAACATTTTGGGTTGCTTAATGTTACTTCATGTTATAGATTATATCTATATGGCGCTGATCTTAGTGGAGGAAAACAATTGTGACATCACTTACGCGACTCTGGGATTTGTAGTCTTTCTAGTTACGTATTTTTCATAGTCTTATATTTCAACAGTTTTACGACAAACTGTGACTTTTTTGACATGGAAATGATTTTTTAAGATTGACAAACATCATATGTGTAATTCATGGCACAATTCAAACGGGATCGAAAGATAAGTTTTCTCTCCCCATTGACTTCAATGCATAATTTTTCCGAAATAAGGTCCCATTACCCGGAAGTAAGTGGGCGTGACTTCGCCACTCTATAACACTTGTTTATTTTCCAGGTACCACCTGGTGCTGCAGGAGACCAATGAGGAGAGGCGAACTGTAGCAAACAACCTCTTGTCTGTATTTGCCACAACTGCCAACCACCTGTCAATCGTAGAGGTAACCTTCTTACTCTACACCCGCCTCCTAATCTATTTCTAAGGAATACTTCAATCAGTTTTAGCATGCAAATAAACTACATATTGTTTTATTTATACAGTATATAGTGTATTGGTCTGGTGGCATCATTATTCAGGTTGCATCAACACCTGTATTTACATTACTGTGTGTAATATAACCCATTGGTGTGTGTGGTTGTGCTACAACAGGAGTGCATGGAGGACCTGCACAGCGGAGTGCAGCGTGTCTGCTCCAAGGCGGTGGAGGACAATGACGCCGCTATACAGAGGCTGAGGGAAATTGCCAAGAGCTTCACGGCCAAGGCCAACAGTTTGTTAAAAGAGGCGGGAAAAGGCCTTCCAGTCTGCAGGGGGCAGATAACTCAAGAGACTGGAAGCGTGGGGAGCTTTATCTGACATTTTTGTTCTTAAATAGTTTGTGAAATTGTTCCCACATTGTTTGTGTCTTTGATTTAGATTCTCATTCATTAGTTCATAATCGTTCACTTACCCTGTATTAACATGTTCCAGGTTTTCACGTTGGTCTTTTGTGTCATTCTTTATCAACACATCTCTGTTTTTTAAATTATTAAACACTCGTATACTAAATAAAAACGACTTATTACTTGTGCCCGAAGAAACATATTTAGATTTATAAGAAGAAATGACCAAGCCTTTTTATGATTGGTCTAAAGTCTACAGACAAACTTTGGGTAAGTATCTAATAGTACAACCGTTTAAATTCTCAGATCACATAAAGAATCACACTTATTTAAAGTCGTGACGTTTTCCTTTTTCCTTTACATTACATATATATCTATATCAAACAGTTTCTGAGATGCAGCCATTTTCTTGTCAACAGGAAACCATCGAACTATGTTTTTTCCTAAAATATAATGTAATCTATAGAAATTTAAATCTAACATTTTGTCAAAATGTTGTTTGTAAACTTGCTAGTTTGTGGTGTAAAGAAACCTCACCAGTCTTCATTTGGTCGTACTGTAGCAGTTGAGCTGAAGCCACTAGAGGGCAGCACAATCTTTCGGTTGCTGATATATATATATATATATCACAAATACACAAACACAATTCTTAAAAGGCAATTAATTTTGTAAAAATAAGCCTGACATTTTTACTAAAATGTAATAAAACTCAATCTTTAAAAGTTGTTTTTAAATAAGGCGTAGGAAGTACTATTTAAATGTTTTCTTTTTTTCTGACTCAGTCATTTGTTTCCTCTTTTATTTTTGTACAGTTTACAAAATGCCTGTTGAACCAAAAACTAATTTAGTTTGTTCTAGCTAACAACTACATGTGAAATGTTTTGTAACAATAACATTGTTATAAACATCAATGTTTCCCCTATATACAAATAGCGGCGGCGCAGCTATGTCACATGAGACATAAAAACAAAGTTAAAGGGGACCTATCATGCAAAATGCACTTTTGTACGTCTTGTATACATGAATATGTGTCCCCGGTGTTCCAGGGAACTCACCAAGTGTCAGAAAACACAACCCTCTCTATTTTCCTCCATACCCAAATCTCTAAAAAAGGGGCTGCAACGGATCTGATTATTATTTGAATTTTTCTGACGTCAGAAAAGGGGTGCTCCGCCTATATGGGCAACTCTCCACCTATCAGGGGAATGAGAGACCGCTCGAAAGCGCTGGAGACGCTGTAGTACATATGCCAAATTGTTCAAATATATGTATCGCAAAACCTTTGAAAGATATGTTCTAAGGTATAGATTTAAACTGAAGACATGAACTTGTTTGCTTTATAGAAATTGGTGAATGAAACATTCCAGAAGTTGTGGTTTACTCCGACTCCCGCCCATGACAAAGTATCCATAACCAGAAAGATCCTCAACATCAGTGATGTGGTAAGTTTGGCTGACTTCCCAGTTTGTTGGAACCAACAACTGTGCGCTCTGTGGTGAAGTTTGGCCAGGGAATCTTCGATTGTCATGAGTCTGATTTGTTCTTCAGGTTTCAGCGTGTCGAGACACCGGCTGTGACTGGTTTGAACAGCTTCTTCAGAATGTAAGTATTTGATTTTGTGTCGTAGCTTCGTCTAACGGGAATTATATGGATGTTTAAAAACGTTTTTAAATGAACATTGTCTCTTTTGCTCTAGCTTCTAAAGTCTGAAGAGGATGCAACGTATAAACCAGCCAAAAAGGCCTGTGTACAGCTTGTTGACAATCTAGTGGAGCACATCCTCAAATACGAGGATTCTCTTTCAGGTATGCAAGTTTATCCTTTTTTTCATCAAATTAAACTTTCCAAAAATGCAGCAGTTGATTTTCTTTCAGAACGCTATCTATACTTACAGTTTAGCCAATCATTGCCCTGCAGTAGGTTGATTTGAGTTAAAATGTTAATGAATGCATTGCATTTTGACTCTGCAGAGAACAAAGGTGTAAACTCAACACGGCTAGTGTCGTGCATTACCACCTTTTACTTATTCAGCAAGATCAGGGCCCAGCTCATGGTCAAACATGCCATGACCATGCAACCCTACCTGACCACAAAGTGTAACGTAAGTTGTGCATACTAAATCCCTTTTGTTGTTGATGAATATACAAAGAAATACTTGCATAATATGTTCTTTTACAACAGAACAGAGAAACTTGAACAAAGAATTCACTGCCTAATCCAGAGATTGATTTCAGGAACGATCTTTCTGATTGGCAATAGAAGAGTTCCCCAAACAAGTCGATATTGGTTGGGATCCATCAGAGCTTTCCCAATGAATAACTCTTTTATTGTTTCAACCTCAGACTGCCAATGACTTCATGGCAACGTGGCAAAGATCTTGGAGCTTGTGGTTCCTCTGATGGAGCATCCCAGTGAGACTTACCTTGCCACCATCGAAGAAGACCTCATGAAGCTCATCATCAAATATGGCATGACTGTGCGTGGTTGTGGCTTTTTATCAATCATATGGGGGGGGGCACCATTGTGGACCCATGTTGACTTAGTAACATTTTATAATTTAAGTGTAAATGGTGTTGTTAAGGAGATGAATTGATGGTCCTCCTTCCTTTTCTCCAGGTGGTCCAACACTGTGTGAGCTGTCTCAGAGTCACGCACAACTATAAGTTTGTGTGGGCTTGCTTCAACAGATTCTATGGTGAGACATACAGTTAGAAATGTTGACCTTCCATGTTCTGTTTTTGCAACAGTTTGCCTGCAGTTTAAGATGTCACCCATACCAACAAATTTCAACTTTTGTTTCAACTTTTAAAACGACATGTTATCGTTGGATCTATTCTCGAGAGAAAACGAAATTAGGAGACACCAAGCAGGTGCAATTAAAGGTGGGGTAGGTAATTTTGGAGAAACCGGCTCGAGATCGCTAGAATTTGATGGGATCTGCTGTTGTGCAGCTCATTTCTACTCCCACTGTATCATAGTTTAACACAACAAAAAACTGAAATGTTTATATCTCTGAAGACAAAAAAGCTGTAAAAAAAGAATAAAACCTTAAGTGAATGTTGGAAATTAGTCTTTTTGATGTTCTTATTAAAGTGTTTTTGGAGTTTATTATACTACTAGCACCCTGATGGTTTTTTCCTTTTAGCTTTTAGATATTTTATGGAAAACAAGAAAAAAGACCAAAAAAAACAAGATTTTTTATTTTTGTTCACTTTTATTTGTCCATGCTGTACAATGGCAGAGTCCTCTGGACATCATTTATTCTATTTCGAAATACGCATGCAGTATATGTGGCCTATTGCAGGAAGATATTTTGTAAATGTAGATTTTGTTGTATTAGGTCACCCTAGTAATAAGAGGAAAGGGGATTCATACCCTTTTGGTGGAACAATACTGCAATACATTGTTCTACTTCTCTTTGTCACTTGTCTGCTCAAGGTGTTAATCTGATCTGTTCATTTTATAAATGAAGAAAAGTGTAGGAACTGGATACTGCAAAAACACAGATAGGTCTCAGAGGCTTAATCTGTTTCATTTGAGGGATGGGGAAAGCTTAAAAAAGTATACCAGACAATCCTTTTCTGAATATTTCTGTACATGGAATTTAAAGCAAAGCAACTACCAGTACCACTTTACAATAAGACTACCCTTATAAAGGGTTTACGAATAGTCTGTAATTCATTTATTAATTAGGTTGTGAACACTTTCTAAGTCATTAATAAGCTTTTATAAGACATGAGATAAACAGGGCAACTGTGACCGGTTGCTTGCCAAATAGTGAGCCCACATTTATCTGTACTGCTAAGCCTTATATTGGCTACCTAGCTTACTTCCTTCATCAGCCAGCATCCTTGGTATCTGTTGTTCACTGAGTTGATTTTTTTTATTGTGTCCACCAGGGAATCATGCTACACCACTATGGAAAACAGTCTCCTAACATAATTTACTGCCTATGGTACTGTCATTATATTGGATAATTGTATACAAGCTGCATTTCAATCTGTCAAATCAAACCTGTCAGACACTTATTTGTATTAAGTGATGGAATGTAACTTTGTTTACTACTTAAGTATACATTGTTCTATTTTATTGTACTTCATACTTCTACCCAACATTTTGGAGTTAAAACATTTAGTTTTTACGTAATTACATTTATATGAAACCTCAAGTTGATTTGCAAATGTAGATTATCAATACAAAATATAGGCCATTGTACAAAATGAGTAGTTTACTTTTGTATCTAGTTTTGATGGTCACCATTTTGTACTTAGACTTGGTTAAGAGTTAAAATACAGTACTTCAACCAAAGTGTTCAATATTCTCTTGTTTTAAATACAATCCGTATCTGTGACTCTGTGGCAAAGTCTACTTGCAGAGCGCGTTGCGGAGCCTTCTTGGACCTAACGGCTCTCCGTAGTCTGGGGATGTCACAGCCATGGATGAAACATTTGAAGAGTAGCCTACTGCCCCCTCCACCGGGTGCTAAGGGGGCGATCTTTTCTACTTAATGCTATCTGCACAAATGGTTAACATTGAACATTAAAAAGATCAGGCAGTTTAGGGAGAGTCGAAGGAAGGCAGGCAGCTTTGCATGGCATTCTTCTGGACGTGTTTCATTGTGATGATAGTGAGGGTGAGTCAATCTGTTTGTTGGCAAGACAGTAGTTGAGTGATTACTGAGAGAAAATTATTCAAAGTGTTGTTACTGACCTTTTTCTCTTTTATTTTCTTTACCTCACCTGTAACTGCTGAGACCTTGAGGAACATGCACACTGGACTGACCTGCTCTGGCAACCTGGTTTCCACTGTACGTATTTGGTTATGGTATATTATTTATATACAACAAAGGCACAATGCACCCCACATAGACACACATGTATTGAGTGTGATATTTTGCATAGGTCATGTGAAATCATCTTTACACACTTGAAAACTGTAGGAGCGGCAACTTGTTTTGAAAATTGAATTTTTAATATCCGATAATAAAGTTGATCTGTTTTTCTTTATTCTTCTCTTCCCAGCTCCATCCATCACCATTCTCCGTTCCTGCAGGTCCTGCTTGCTAATCAATGCTCATATTTTTTTACACAATTACAAATAAAGTCAATGTATTGTATGACATGAAGTTGTGCTTCATTCTGAGTCAATAATAAATTCATTCTGCCGTCATTCATTCTGCCTTCAACTGCATAATGATTGTGGACTGCACCGACATCCATGTAGCTGCCCCCCAGTAAGATGAACCAAGCAAAGTTGACACACTCAACATACAGCTGTGCTCTTAAGTTTACATGAAGAATTTGTGAAATATTGGTAATTATTTGGAAAAAATGACTGATGATGCAGAAAACTTTTTTTATTTAGGAACAGTGGTCAGGTGAAGCCATTTATCATTACATATGTGTCACACATAAAAGGCCAAACACAGTGGGTGTTTCTCAATCGCGAGTAAAGCTGCTTCAGAGCCACTATTTCAAGCATACTACGCCATCGAGTGCCGCCGAAGTACTGTTCCAATCTCCAGCATACTTGGAAATCTACCGAGCCCGGCGTACTCCGTTTGGAGAAATATCGAGGCTGCACATGAGTAGACTCTGCGGTCTTAAAATCCCCACAATGCTTTGCGCACGGACCAATTTCCAAAATCTGTGGCAGAAAATGTAAGGCGGGGCCTATCATATGACGCACACCTGCACACTTGCTCGCCTGTTCCACTCTTTGTTTTCCAAATGTCAGGAAGTATTCTTGACTCGCTTCTGAAGCAAGATGCTCGGCAGACATGTGCTACCAAGCAAGCGTACTCGCGATTGAGAAACACCCACTGTTTGGCATTTTAAGAGCTCTGCCTTACTTCCTCGCTCTTGGTCCTCTTCTACCTGGAAATAAAAGACAACCAAAACACACACAAGCTGAATGTTAAAAGTGCTTCACAAGATAAATAGAAGAGTGCAGACTGTTTAAACTATGAGTAGGGGGACTATTTAGCAGGTTTAAATGATTATTAGTAATTAATTATATCATTTTCTCATTGTAGACGAGCAGACAGGGAGCCAGATGAGAAATGCAGAATATGCAGCTGCCATTTTCCACATGGAAAAGACAAAGGGCCAAGTTTATTTGAGTGGACAAAAGAGAAAGGGAGCTTAGCTGTAAATCAGTTCACCGACCACAGCTACACCAAAGGGCCTGAGTCTGCATTTGTACATTCCCCCGTGCACAATCACAGACAGCGCGCCATCGTCTCCCATGCAGATCTGTAAAATTAAAGTAAGTACCATTTGTTATCATGCTATAATAGATTGAATGAGCAATAATACAAGGATGGTCAGGATCTGGTGGTGGGAGGGAACTTTTCCATAGTTTTGTCCTCTTGTCTGATTGTTGTTATTGTTTGTTTTTTCTGTATTTTTTGTAATTTGTGTTGTATTGGTTGTGATTGTACATTGTATTTGTCTAAATGTGTATGAATAAAAACATTTGATCAACAAACAAAAAAGGATGGTCAGGATCTAGACTCAGTGTGTAGTTTATTAATTAAATCAACGCTCTCTACATTAGGAAAACACATGCCAGTCACACACAGCTGTGCCTAGATAACCAAACAAATTGACAAGGTAACCAAAATCCTTGAATCTACACACAGCAAATAAACTCAAATGACACAACGAGATGTAAAAGGACACATACAGTATAGTCGATATAAAACTGTCCGCTGTCTGAAGAGCAACTAAAACAAAACACGGGAGTGTACCTTGTTCTTGTGAACACTAATGTTATCCACAGCATACACAGAGACCACAAAGTTCTTAACGAGAAAACTAGTTGCTAAAACAAAACACGTTAGTGTACCTTGTTAGCTAATGATAGCTAGCTGACATTAACGTTACACATTGCACTCATGTTACTCACCGAAGCCTTGTAAAGCCGGTCCCGCATGCTGGCTCTTACAGAACCGACTAACTCCCCTTTTGTGCATGTACAGCTCTCAACATGCTTAACCAGACTTGTAGTGATTTTCACCTCGTTTAATACTTTTCGCCTCGTTCTGAAAGAAAGAGGTGAAATGTGCTAACGTGACAGCCATCTTTGTGTTGGTGACGCGTATTGTGCGAGACCAGAGACATGTAGCTCACTGAGCGGCTTCACACAAAAAATGTGTTACTTCACAGTTTTACGACACATTTTATTTTTTTGACTTGCAACATTTTCTTTTAAATTGACAAACATCGTATGTGTAATTCGTGGCACAATTCAATCGGGATCGAAAGATAATCTTTCTCTGTCCATTGACTTCAATACATACTTTTTCCGAAACTTGTCCCATGGAGCTCGACCGGAAGGGGAGGGACTTCGCCTCTCTATAAAGGCCTCTAGGGACGTAGTTTATTTTGAAAGGTAAAGCTACCGGAAGTCCCTGTCATTAGCTCTGATGCTAACTTGATAGCAGTGTAGCTTCTCTTTGTCAGAGGACTGACTTCCGTTTTCATGTTTGGTCCAGGTTTCTGGAATTTACTATCTTCTGGGACTCTGGGCCGCCTCTCGCTTTGATAAACAGCCGCTGGGATTGAGTGTTTCTGGGGAAGGGGCTGATAAAAGGAGCTTCATTTCAGCCTGTTGGTAGTTAGCGGCCGACATTCTGTCTCATCCTTGAAAAACACGACTGTTTACCTAGCTAGCTGGCTAGCATAGCATCAGCCAGCTGAGTTAAACCACCCAGCATGTTTCGGTACTTGAATGACGTTGATGACGACCCCTACATGATGTAAGTGTGGACATTATGTGTATGTTGTGTAGACACTTGTATCACTATGTGGTTTGCAAGAGGGGCGAAATGCACATGCTAGGTGGTGTTTTTTCACTGTGTCTTAAGCAGGTACCCTAACGTTTCTCCAGCTGTGGGGGCCTACAGTGGTCCACCATGTTGGATAGACAATAACAAAAAAGCTGTCAAAGCCCAAAAGCAGAGGAAAAGAATCATCAACTGCTAAAATGTGCAATTATCACGACTTTCCTAACTTGGGATTATGCTAATTGATAGCAGGTGGCATTGCTTTTACTCATTTGTACACAAGCTACCTCTCTTGGTATCAGCACAGCTTTCCATTCTCCATAACAATACTGCATTTGATTGTATTATTATGTGTTCTTAGATATAGTATACTGTATCCAGTACAATTGTTTTTATTTGTTTGGCCCTTTGTCTTCTTCAACTGTGTTTATGGATACACCAAGGCAAATTCCTCTATGTGTATACCTACTTGGCAATAAACCTGAATTCTGATTGATGTAATGGTGCAGGTAACAGAGCACCTTTACATAACGTTGCATGAGGAGTTTTCCTCTACATTTGACAAATGCATGAAACTGAAAAGTGCTGACAATCCCTTTTCTTCCCAGCATAACACATTTGCATTCATAGGAAACTGATTTGAAAGGGTTGAGTAGATCTGGAACTGTGGATGTCATTATAAACTTTATGCACCAGCACACACACGCTTAATCATTAGTTTTGACTAATGCAATGCTACTGAAACTATGGTGGGCCTTTTGGGGGGGCTCATGTGATCCCCTACTGTCAGCCTGTCACAAAGTAAACAAAAGTACTGTTATAATCTCAAAACAACAGTCAGGCAGGTTCTGAAACAATGCCATTATTGTGAAGTCAATGATTGCAATTTAAGATAATATCCGTTATTTATAATTCCTGTTATAATGTTTTACTGCCTATGCTTTAAGTGTATTCATTTGCCTGAGCAATAGTCCAAAGATCTTCAGTCCACTATCATCTGTGACAAAAGATAAGCCTCAAATCCTCTCATAAGAGAAGGTGGTAACAGAAATGATTTTGCGTATGGGGAAAAATCAACATAGTTGTTTGTTCTCTTTCTGTCAATTGAGTAAGTGACTAACTGTTGCAGCTCTGTTTTACGGCTCCTTCCATGCTCTGAAAAAGCTTGATTTAAATTGAACCTTAAGTGACTAGTTAATTGGCTGGAAAGGAACCTGCAACAACTCATTAATGCTTGGCTCATTACTCGCACTGTGGGAACTGAAACGTAGTTCTTTACTCGAGGAGGTTCAGTTAAACCTTTAACAAGTTATACATACACTCAAGTCAAACCGGTAGTATACAGTAAGCATGCTTTGACACAGGGCCAACACGGGGCCCCACGCATAGTTATATGATGTGGCCCTCTGTTTCGTGAGCGTCGACGGGGGGTTCTAGTGGGGCCTCGCAGCGGCAAAACCGCGCCGCATAGGTGCGCCGCATTTTCGGCTCAGTTGAGGCTCCCTCCGCAAGATGAGGCCCCACGCAGTCTGCATGATCGGCCTGTAGGGAGGGACGGCCCTGGTTTGACAACATGGCAACGCTAGTTTTGATAAAAATCTGAAGCTTGGGCACCCATCCTAAAATGACACTTTGACACTTTACTTCACCTTTGAAAGATAAAATGTTTCCATTACCAGACCATTTGTTTTACCCCAAACTAAACAAGTTCCAAAAAGACGGTCTTAGGATTTAAACCCTATGGAAACATATTGATATCCTAGTGATTATCTTTCATTTTTATTATCCAACGTTCATCCTGCACTCACACACTGTGCTGTGAGTCTACTCCCCCTTGTCTTAAGTCTTAACAAACCAATAAGTTAAAGTGTAATCTGTGATGTCTTGCAGGGATCCATTTGCTGCTCACAGGCAGCAGATGAGGATGATGTTCGGACCCTTCGGCATGGATCCCTTTGCTCTCACCCCCGCGATACAACCCCCCCGCGCCCCACGCAGACAGGTAACTCTCCGCCATGTTGAGCGACTATATATGTTTAAAGACACATCTGTTTAGATTAGCTTTGTATTATCAACCCCCCACTTTAAATGTCCTTTTAGTCTTTATTATTTACCTACCTTCATATTGTTATATTTATTTTATAGGTCTTTTTATTTGTATTTCTGTTGTACCGATATGTTCACTTTGTTTCATGGGGTTTTATATTGTTGCATCGACTCAGTTTTCTTGTCTTACCTGTCGGAGAGAAACCATTATGTATTGTTATCATACATTTGACCTCCTTGTGTCTATCTGATCAAATGTTATATTTTGCTGCATGCACCTTTTAAAGTTCTTAACAAATAATCTGAGGGGAATTTCTTGTTGTGTATTTTTAACTTGTGATGTGTCATTTTGTAAAGCACTTTGAGCTGCATGTGTTGTATGAAAAGTGCTCTAAATAAAGCTTTATTATTATTATTATTAATGTGTTGGAAACTGACATTAAACGACCCATCCTGTTCGTACGTTTTAATCTACGGTGTACATTTTCTTTCAGGCTGGTGCCATGACCCCCTTCGGCATGATGGGAATGGTAAATAGCTTCTTCTTTGATCTCTTTCAAAACCTTGAAACATATAGTTTAAATGTAATTGTACAGATGACACATGTACAATCAAGTGACTTCACCATGTGTCAAAGAGTTTACTGATCTTCATGTGAAATCACAGCATTGTGTGAAAAGCCGTCTCCATGTATTCTAGTTTTAAATCTCATGGTCCATGTTACATTTCAAATAAGTTGGGTTTACACTTAAACACTATAAGGGCAATGTGGTGGGAAAAGACACCATATTTACTTGAATCTGTGCTTGTCTTTTTCACCTTACCAACAGAATAAGGACAAAAGAAACAGGACTTGTTTCTTTTTCCAAAGAAAAACGTAAATTCCATCACACACTTATCTTATTGATTTATCTAAGAAGAGTTTTTGGTCATAAAAGGATCTTTCTTAAGACATTTCAAGAATCATTAAGTGCTTAAATAAAGCCCATAACTGCATGTTAGTCAAGCTGTGTCCATGATCACACACAGAATAAACACCCACTCAGAGATTGCATTTAAAAAAAAACTTTAAAAAATGTATATTCATCAACATAACCCAAGATCACAGTTTGCAAATGGCTGTCCTAAAACTTAAGTGTGTTTCATGCTTCTTCTTGCTCTCAAAATAAAGTTGAGAGGCTTATAAGAAATACCATCGCTGCACTAAACTGACAATACAAGCTGTACTTTCCAACACTGTGTTAATACTTGACGTTTCATCAGTTGATAATTTAATAACGTTTTATTTTTGCAGGGTGGTGGTGGTGGTGGTGGTGGTGGTGGTGGTGGAGGAGGGTTCATGGATATGTTTGGCATGATGGGAGACATGATGGGAAACGTGGTAAGTAGTCCTGTGTAGCAGTTTCCAAATATACACACAGTAATGACCCTCATGAATGGAAGCTGTGTCTGAACGTCACTCCATTTATTTTCTTCTCGCAGGAAAGAATGTCCGGCTCATCGAACTGTCAGACGTATTCCTCTTCGACGATGATCTCCTACTCCTCTTCAGACGCGGGGCCTCCTGAAGTTTATCAGCAGACGAGTGCGACGAGAACAGGACCAGGAGGGGTGAGGAGAACTGATGATTAAATACTTTTCAATTCAAGGATTCAAGGCTTTTATTGTCATGTGTGCATAGCTACAGTGTAGATATGACAATGAAAATCTGAGGTCACAGGCTCCTCCAACAGTGCAACACAATAACACAGATACAGAATATAGTAGAAATAGTGCAGAATAGTATATATACATGTAATTGGAATATTGATATATATATATATACACAGGGTGTCCGCAGGGTCTTAAAAAGTATTAAAAGTTGATAAATCAATTTAGCGAAAATGAAGGCTATTAAAAAGTATTAAACGGCATTTTCCAAGGTATTACATTTTGTAGCTTGTTTTCAATAAGTATATAAATTGTTCAAAGAGGTTGTATTCTACAGTGTGCCTGAATGTAATCATTGCGTAGGTGTGTAGTGTGATTCTGTGTAGTTTATTTATGGCATCCCGTTGGATTTGACGTCATCTGAACAGGACATCGCACGCTCACTGCTTGATAGCGCGCGGAG